ACAAGGCTGGTTTGGAGGCAATGCCAAGAGTCTGTCCCTTCTCTCCCACTCACTTGGCCTTTCCTGAGGCAAGTCCATGGGGAGAACCAGGAGAAGGAAACAGGCCCAGGGGTTGAGGTCAGATGTGTTTAGCAGCCCTGGGTGTGGGGGAAGTCAGCAGCCTTGACCTCAGTGGCCCTTCCCAAACCCTCTGGTGCCCCTTCCTTTCCTCGCTCCCATTCTCAGTGGGGCAGGATGGTAGCTCGAGCATTGTGGGGCATCACTTGCCTCTGTATTTCCAAACAGGAGGAGAGAGCAGGACCTCTGGGACTCTCTCCGGAAACTCCCAGAAGAACTGTCCAGCACAATAAACGATAAGAATTTACTCTCAAGGGATAAGCCCCCAATAGACAGGAGCATTAAAAAAAAGTGAAACAGCCCAGCCAGCGTGGCTCAGTGGTTGAGCGCTGACCTATGAACCAGGAGGTTACAGTTTGATTCCCAGTCAGGGCACATGCCTGCATTGCAGGCTCGATCCCCAGTGTGGGGCATGCAGGAGGTAACCAATCAATGATTCTCTCTCATCATTGATGTTTCTATCTCTCCCTCTCCCTTCCTTTCTGAAATCAATATATATATAATTTTTTAAAAAGTGAAATAGCTCTAGCCGGTTTGGCTCAGTGGATAGAGCATCGGCCTGCAAACCAAACGGTCCTGGGTTCAATTCCTGTCAAGGGCACATACCTTGGTTGCAGGCTCCTCCCCAACACCAGGTCTTGGTTGGGGCTTGTATAGGAGACAACCAATCCATGTGTTTCTCTCACATCGATGTTTTTCTGTCTTTCCCTCTTTCTTCCACTCTCCCTAAAAATCAATGGGAAAATATCCTCTGGTGAGGATTAACAAGAACAAAACAAAACAAAAAACTGGTCAGGATCCAAATTAAAAAAAAAAAAAGTGAAACACAGTCATGGGTGACAGATTCATAATGCAATTATTGATTCAAACACAGGTCCTTTTTCTTTCTTGCATTTTCACCCCCTCTCCCTCCAAAAATTGTTGCTGATGGCTGGGGAGTGACTCAGGGAGACAGCTACAGGGGAGAGTGACTTGGCTGCAGCTGATGCTAAAAACGACCAGCACCAAGGCAAAGGCCAGAGATAGCATCCTCCCTCACCCTCATCTTCCTCCCTGGGCCTTATTTGTAACAAGGGGGACAGAACTTCTGACCTGTCTGAGAAGTTGAGTGGATTAAACTGATAAAGGGCCTGACACCCATTCATAATACTACTAAGAGCTATGATGTATTGAGTCCCCAAGGCCAGGCACCATGCTAACATGACCTCCTTCAATCACTGGTCCAAATTCCATCAAGGCAAGGACTAGATCTGTCTTGTTCCCCACCGTATCACTAGTTCCAAGTGTCCTCCTGCACAATGAGAACAATAACCAAAGCTCACAGGACCCTTATTTTGTGCACTCACTTTATAGCCTATTTACCATTTCCAGCATGTACATTTCTAATCTTCATGACAATTTTAAGGGATAATTACTACCACCGTCCCCATTTTATAAATGAGAAAACTACGGTACAGAAGGCAGAGAGAAATTGGGTAACTTTCCCAAAGTCACCAAGTAAGTGATAGTGCAAGAGTCTGAACCCAGACAGTCTGGCTCTAGAGCCCTATGCTAACTCAGGGGGTCAGGGGATGCTCACAAGTCCGGTGTCAGGCTGTTTTATTGGCAAAGCAGTTGAAGCTAAGAGAGCAGTTGAGTGATTGGCTCAAAGCCACGGAGCTGTTAGGTGGCAGACCCAGGGATGGATTCAGTGTGAACGAGCTAAATGCCTCTGAAAGGGTATGCTTCAGTCCCCCACTCCCAGCCCAGGCTCTGGGGCCAGCCTTTTCCTATAGGGCTCCCCCCAGAGTCCACAAATGTCTTGAGGCTGGGACTAGACTAAGGGCAGCTGTGGAGCAGTAACAATGACACCCCAAAGCTCAGAGACAGCCCCCAGGCCAGGAATTTGTCAGGAGCCCAGTTCTGAGGACTGGCGCTGGCTGTGGGCTGATGCTGGGCCCTCCTTCCACCTGTAGCCCCTGGCAAGAGTGCTCAGAGGGCCGGGCTTGTCCCCACCCCCAACCTCCTAAGGCAGGATGGTGACTCTCTTCCTGGGAGAGGAAACCGGCAGCTTCAGACAGTGTTTGGTCAAGAGATTTTTCATCTTCCTTTCCTGGCCAGAGCCGAGCTTCCATCACTCACACGCTTGTTTTCCATCACTCAGGTCCTTGCCCGTCGGCTGGCATCTGGCTCAGCGTGGATGTCCCGTGATAAGTCAGGGACATGACAGATGCCATTAACATAACATTCCTATTCATCCTTCCAGGCTAGGCTGGCTTGGAGAGGAGGCTGAGAGAGGCATGGAGTCAAAAGAGAACAGCTTCTGACACCAGACTCATTTGAGGCCGAGGCTGGCCTCTGCTGCTTCCCTAGCTAGGTAGCTTAGGACAAGTTCCCTAACCTCTGTGAGAAACTAAGTCTCCACATTCATTAAATGCGGATAGAAATGGAGAAATTCTCATCTGGAATCAAAGCCATTGCTTTGCACACCTCCAGGGGGCACCCTTCACATTGTGGTTTATGTGAGTGCGTGCCACATGGAACCCCACTCCATAGACTCCAAGGTGAAAGATGCCTCAAGATTGCACATCCCGAGTCTGCACCTGGCAGAGAAGAATAGCTATGCCATCGTTCAGATGTGGTGCTGACCAGGGTGCTAACAGGGTTCTTGTGAGGACCAGAGATGACGCCATGCCAAGGGGCTGGGGCCTTGTAGGTGCACAGGAGGCATGGCATTCCCAGACACCTCCTGCCCTGAGAGGTGCCCCTGCCCAATTCTGACTCACGTGTGGAGCAGGTGGGAGCGAGTAGAGACCCAGCTCACAATAGCCTTGTGAGCAAGACCTCAGTTCCACGTCCTATAGGGTCTCCTCTTTCCTCTGTTTGCCCCCTTGGTAACCACAGAGTATGAGACTCCTTGGCAGAAGGCTGGGGTCGGTAGGGGGTTTCACTCTACTAGGGTTTGTAGCTGACTCGTCAAGAAACCTTGAGTGAAATCTCTTCCCCAGCCTGGTTTTCCAGTCTCTGCTTAAAGCAACGGACCCTTTCTGTGTCTCCCCCCATAGGGTATCTTCATTTAAAGCCTCCTGTGTGGGTGCACTCTCCTTCCCAGGAGCATGTCCGTGCCTCCCCACTCCCCTTTCTCCCCCCCCACAGGCATGCACTTCCTAAACTCCAAGGGACCTCACAAGGCTTGCAACCAATGTAGCAATGGGCAGCGGCAGTTCATCCCAGGTAAACCCCTGAATGTGCCCAAGGACTCGGTTTCTCCACTTCTTAGTGAGCCAAAGCAGCCCAGCCCAGGCTCATTTCCCTAGCCCTTCCTCGTTTCACTGTCCCCAGCTGCAATAAACATCCTCTAAAATTCAAAACAAAACAACAACACCTGCTTTATGCTTGACACAGTGGAGAGGAGGGTGTCAAGGTAGCTAGTCTCCGGCCCCAAGGCCACAGAAGAGTAGGCTGAGGTGGTACAGTGCAGGGACTCAGGCGCCCATGGTGTGTGTGTGTGTGTGTGTGTGTAAACACCTTCACTTGACCTTGATGCTCGGGCCCAAGGAGGCCCCGCTCCTCAGAGCCCTCAAGCAGAAGACCAGCAGCTCCACTGCCCACCTTTGGAATTCGGGCTTTTCTCTTCTCTCCAGGTGAGGGCTGCCCTGCCTAAAGCAGTTTCCTGTTGCCTCTCAACTGGCCCAGTTGGCTGCAAGTCTGCAGCTTTCAACACAGGAGTTAGGCACGGGAGTTCCATCACCTGGAGATAGAAACGCACCTTTTCATTGCCTCTCACACCCTCCCTCCTCCTTCCCATCCACATCAACAACCCCGTCCTCTTTATTCTGCTTGCTCAGGGAACTCTGAGATATAGCAGACCCCTTGCCTTGCCTATCTGATTTACTGCAGAACCCTAGTTCCTAGACCTAATAAGGTGCTCCATACACATTAGTTGAATGAATGAATGAATGAATGAATGAATGAAGTCCTTCCATGGAAGTTGGGCACACTTCATGCTTACTCTAGGAAGATGTTCAGACATCCAGGGTTGTTATCCAAAAGAAGTCACCACTGTTCTCTCCTACGGGGGACCCCCATTCCTGACCCTCTTATCATTCATTTATTCATCGAGCCAATATTTATTGAGTAGCTCTTCTGAATAGAGTTCGGTTCGGGAGAGAAGCCTTGAGCTTTCTTCACCCCCCGGCTCCTTCTTCCACCCCCCCCCATATATTTTAACCGATTATTTCAGCAGCATTTCATTAACCTGGGTGTTATCATAGTCATATCAAGTTATCAGAGCTTAATATGTGTCAAGCACTACTTTTAG